CTTCAGGGTTCTTTTCATATGAAAGATTTAGGGTCATTAACTTATTTCTTAGGACTCGAGGTTCACTCTTCTGCCACTGGTATTTTTCTTCATCAGCACAACTATACGAAGGGACTCATTGCTTTGGCTGGTCTTCAAGATGGTCGCTCTACTGATACCCCTTTAGAGGTAAATGTCAAATATCAACAGAATGATGGTGACTTTCTATCTGAACCATCTCTATATAGACAACTGGTCGGCAGTCTCAATTATCTGACTATTACGCGTCCCGATATTTCATTTGCTGTGCAACAAGTTAGTCAATTTATGCAAGCCCCTACACATTTTCATTTAGCTGCAGTTCGACGTATTATTCGATATTTGAAAGGTACTTCTCATCGTGGTTTGTTCTTTTCTGCAAAGTCTCCTATCACCTTAACAGCCTATAGTGATGCTGATTGGGCTGGTTGTTCTGATACGCGTCGATCTATTACTGGATGGTGCATGTTTCTTGGCAAATCGTTAATCACTTGGAAGAGCAAGAAACAAGATCGAGTGTCTAAGTCATCTACTGAATCAGAATATCGCGCTATGTCCTCTGCTTGTTCTGAAATCATTTGGCTTCGTGGAGTGCTGGCTGAGCTTGGTTTTCCTCAGCTTGAGTCTACTTCTCTTCATGCAGATAATACTAATGCTATCCAGATTGCTGCAAATCCCGTTTTTCATGAACGTACGAAACACATTGAAGTGGACTGTCATTCCATTCGAGAAGCCTATGAAGATGGTGTTATATCTCTTCCCCATATCACTACTGATCTTCAAACGGCTGATATATTTACTAAAGCTCTATCTCGACAACGTCATCAGTTTCTTGTCAGCAAATTGATGCTTCTTGATCAGCCAGCATCAATTTGAAGGGGGATATCAATCAGGAATAAAAGAAATCATAATAAAGAGTTTCCTTCTTCGCAATAATGCAAAGAAGGAAATATTATATTTGCACGAATTCTCTCCTTTTTAGCTGAATATTTAGATTATGAATATGTATTAATTAAGTTACTTAAATTGGATTATACTGAATATTATGTACCTAAAATAGATTGTACAAACTACTATTTATTGGAATGAAGCAAAGGAAAAGGCATTCAGCTTATTTACTCAAAATATTGTCATTGTGTTCTTAAGAAATCTCATTTATAAATTTCTTATTATCACTACCATACTGTGAAAAACTAAATATTGTAAACATCCAGTATTTCTATCATTTATAATTGAAACAAAAATGGCCTTTTTATCAAAAATGGCATTTTTATCTCTATCTGATTTGGGCGAAAGACTAGAAGGGCCATGAATGGTATATAACAGAAAAGCCGCCTAATACTCCAACGTGTAACTAAATACCAGTGATATGAATTTTGGTTTCCTTGTTCTTTCTTCAATTCCATGTCTCAATACTGGTTTAAAAACTAAAAAATATAGCAATAATAACATTATTTTATATCAAAAGTCTACAGATATTCAGACATTATATAAAACAATAGCAAACCTATAATATCGAAAGTAAAAAAACAAGTTATTCTGAATTCCATATGCTATGTATCCCATCTGTGCACTAAAAAAAAGGCTTTGCAAATCAGATTGTTACATACCTGATTTTTGTTTACATCAACTAAAATTGCATTATATAATTTTGATTGAACCTCAGCAGTCTTGTCCTTCACGCCAACCTGAACACGTGACAAATCATTTAATATTCAAATTATATAACAAGCTCAGAGAAAAGGTAAAGAGCCAAATTAATATGAAATATAGCATCATAGCATTAAATTCAGAAACTAAAGGTTGACTGACAATCGTATATTTCAAGATTGCATAAACGGTTGTCATGATCATGCAAGAGTCCAATGAAGTTAATGGAAATACGCATGTTTAAAATCAGATATTTCACATCAATCATAATCACAATGGTCAATTCTCTAAAATAAAGTAAACAGGAAAAACACAATTCTAAAAATAAGAAAAGAAGAAAAAAGGAATAAACATGACAACCATGCCAACCCACAATCTCAAACCTTGCAAGCTAGGGATGATGTCAAAACGAGTTCATGCATCGGGTTCGGGCTTGACCAAAAATTAACCTAACCAAAAACTATTTGATCCAAACCGACCCAAATATTGAACGGGTCAACCCAAAACCGACCTGCCTTCAAACAGACTGACTCGAACCCAACCCACATAACCCATTTAATATATGTCCAATAGTTATTTAGGTCATATTCACGTTCATTTTGAGCCAAGTTCGAGTCAAATTTGGGCTATTTGGTAAGATTAGGGTCAATTTTGGGTAAATAGGTAAAATTAAGATTAGTGGGTGAACCCAAAACCGATCCAAAAGATTAAATATTATGAGATTTTGACCCCAAATCCAAAAAGAAAAATATTCAGGTCGGCCTGAACAAATATTTTTTGAGTCAGATTTGGAGTAAACTTAGAATGACGAATGTATTTTTGACACCCCTATTGCAAGCAATCACTGCATGCCAAAGTAGTCCGATCCACGTGTGCTCTCAAGCTCAATTAGTGTCAACTATAGTCACATTCATGAAAAACAGCCCTAGATGTACCCTTGCTCACGACATATCACTTACCCTATTTGAACTTAAATGGAAGCACAATGGAAATTGAAACGGGTGGGTGCACTTATTCTCTTTCATACTAGGAACTTGGCACATCCACCCATTTCAAGTCTCCAAATAATCATAGGTCTATGGCATAGATCACTCTCTATTCGTCCTCAACAAAACTGCTAATAGAGAGTAGTCTCTTAGGGATATTGCTCAGTAGGCTAAAACACGCAAGCTTCAAAAGACAATACATCGGTTGAAACAAAACCCTCGGAATGATTCAACATATTCTACAAGATTCTAGCTAATGTTAGAGTACAAAATAGTGTTGCTGATATATTTACCTTTATTTGATACTCTTCCTTTAGCATAATGATTCTTGTTGTGTATGTCAATGACATTCTTCTCACTGGGAGTGACACTTCAATTATTGTTCAAATAAAACATTATATCAAAAGATGTTTAAGAAATATGAGTTGATCTACCAAAAACGTTTCCTTGGAATTGAATTTGATTATAATAGAGGTCTCTCTCTCTCTCTCTTCCCTCCCCTTACCCCTCTCACTCTCCCTCTCTCTCTACGATTTGAGGTGACAAAAGAATTTTCTTGGAATTGAATTTGCATATAATAGAGGTCTCTCTCTCTCTCTCTCTCACACACACACACACACACACACACACACAACCTTGAAGAAAATTTCTATAAGGTAAGCTAAGTTCATCTAACTATCACTGGAACCGATATATTCTTTTCAAGAGGCTAATCAACAAATAAAAAATATATATATATATCTCCTAAAAATCTATCGAAGGAATAATCTAAAAAAAATTCGAGAAGAATTTTCCATATAGGGCAAACAAAAAATTTATTGTAAGAACATCAAACAACTCAACACAAACACATAAGATAGGCATCACAATTTGAAAGGTCGTATATCTCTCCCAAAGCCTAACCCTAAGGCTCAGAGCAACAAACTTATGCATAACCCTAACCTAAACATATTAGCCATCTTATTAATAAATCATAACAAATAATAAAGGATTAAATTGCCATTAGGTGCCTAAAAGACTAAATTGCTCTTAGAAGCCATCATAACAAAACTCCCCTCTCAAAAAGACACCATATCCTCAATGTGGGAAAAGTGACAGTTCTTCCTCCACCACAATCTTCTCTGTTTTTTTATCCCCTGCCTCCTCGTCACACACTGTGAGAATCTATGATGTTCGATCCTTACAACAATTTCTTAGGAAAAACTTGTCATCACACCAAAAACATAACCCCTTGACAAGTTTTTCCTGAATCCCTGTTTTTGTAAGGCACTTGAGTGTCGCTCCCAATCATGGCTCATTATTCTCATCTCGTGGAGATTCTCTCTAAACATCCCTTGTTCAAGCTTTTGGCATCTTCACTTTTGTTGTAGTTCAGCATGACGCTCCACATGTGCTGCTCATTTTCACCTGTTCTATTGCATTTTTATCTTCAACCAATAACGCTGATTCCATAATTTCCCCCAATCCTCGTACTCTCAGTAGATGAAGTCATGCTCAAATCATTCATGAGGTTGTCTTCTAACAATTCTTTTTCTGATAAAGTCAAATAACACTCAATTTTTTCCTTACTCTCCATGAAGAACCTTCCTGAACTAGTGCAAAAAGCTGCTCATGTAAATCTACATCCTCAATGGCTCATAAACATTTTAACAAGCAATCATTGAATTCCTCCAGTGAGCAAATTGGGTATCTAGCCTCCCACTGAAACTGAGCTAAGGCTTTCCCCTCCAAAAAAAAAATCCCGTTCTCATGAGCTTTTCATCCCCAGTTAGCAAATTCACCTCAAAATATCGCTCCATCCAATACACCCACCCATGTGCGCCTTCCCCCTCGAAGATCGGCATCTTCAACTTTCTAACCAAAACAACTCCACCGTAACTTCCTCTCCCACTGTAATTTCTCCCCATATATCCAGGGTAAAACTCCCTCTTTTGATCATAGTCTTCCCTCATCCCTTCTTCATGCTCCTCCATACTATTTGCATGACCCCTACTCCATGTTTCGACCCAACCTCCTCCGTCAAAAATCTCTAATTCACTCCCCATCGGAGCCATAGGAGAAGGTTCTTAATGGTGGACAATTCCCTGCTCATATTCCTTCATTTGATCTTTTTCCCTTTTGATTTAGCCAAAGATTCTCCAATCACCTATTGGTTAAGGTTTGCAAATTGAAAAGCGACAAATTCTTGGATTGCATCTCTATAAGCTTCCACATAATCTCCTCCAAGCTCTCAAATCGATTTTCCATTGAGAAAAATTTTCTTCTATGATTGAGAACCTTAACTCCATCCTGCATTTAATTTGGCTCACTTCTTCCAACAATTTCTTCTCCAAATCTTCTACTTTTTTAGTTGTCATACCTCCCAGAATAATTTTCTATCACGAAGGAGGAACTACTGTATATTGAAATCTCATTGATGGCTTCCCAGATAGTTTAGATCGGGTCTGTACAAATTTGATTGTGTATGTACCAACTCTGTATCACAATCCCGTCGTTTGAATGTCGCGATCTCATCACTTGTGTCTCGGCTAACTCTTTCTGCGACTATATCACACGGATAAAGTCACGAAGGATGTGCTAGTATGCCGAAATCCTGTCGTTCACGTCCTAGCTAACTCTTTCCATGACTATATTGCACACTTCAGTCACACAAGCAATTCGTGATCTCGTCGGTCTTCCTAGTTGTCTCGAATGGTGAATCTAGCACGAGATTCGATTACGAAAGCTGTGGCGATCCTGATTTTGGCTTTCCTCGTGGTTGAATCTCTACTGTCTCATGAGGTTGTGATTCTATCTCACCTGGTACGCAGTGATTCGATCGTTTAATCCCAAAATCTTGCTCCGATACCACTTTTATATGACCCGAGAATATTTTTCCACAAAAATTACGGTAAACAAATATTTATTGCAAGTATATCAAAGAACTCAACACGAATACATAAGATAAGTACCTATAATTAAAGAGGTAGACGATCTCTCCCAAATTCTACAATTCAAGAGGTAGGAAATCTCTCCAAAACCCTAACCCTAAGGTTCAAGACAACAAACTCATGCATAACCCTAACCCTAAACATATCAGTCCTATTAATACTAAGCAATAATAAATAACAAAAGGCTAAATAGCCCTTAGGCACCAACATAATATAATCACTTAAAGATTCAAGCTTACACACGTACTAATAATGCTAGGTCCATTAAAGTTAAAAAAAATGTCAATTCTGGTTGGTGGAAATCTTATGAGATAAGGAGTATGAAGAAAACAATTGTAGCCAAATCTAGCATTCAAATAGAAAAAGGGTCAATGCTTGCTCCACTTGTAAAATGTTGAACAGAATTAAATTATGATAATAAATTTGTTGTATATATTGATAACTATCTCATCTTCAATGAAAAGTCTAAACATAGCAAAATTGATCATCACTTTATTAGGGATATCATTTAGCAAGGAAGAATTACTCATGTTGGTAATGAAGAACATCTAGCTCATACCTTTACCAAAGCCCTCAAACATCCTTACTATTCAAACATATATAATAGGTTGGATCAAATTGATAAATATGTTCAAATTTAAAAGGAGTTCCAGCAAGGAAAAATTGCATATCTGAAAGTTAACCATATTTAGTGAGTACTATATTTTTATTTGGATAAATGTTGGAACAAAAAATTGTACTCATTCTATTTCAAAACAACATAATGCCTCCCACCGTCAGCTAAACACCTATACAGTTTGATTCTCCTTTTTTCTTTATCTCCACTTATTTCTCCTGTGCAGGTTTCTTTGTGTTCTTTTTCCGGTTTTTTCTCAATCTGGACATGAATTGTTGATAATTGAGAACACTATAGGGAAAGCTCAAGATACAGAAGAAGAGAGCAGGAGGTAAAGCAAAACATAGGAAAACCTAGACGAGCTTAGGTATGTCGCAAAATCCCATACAGGCATCGAAGCCACCTCTTACAATAAGATGAAGGTTCTAGATAAATAAATTGCATTAGTTTAGCTATTTATGCTGTACCAAAGGAACAACATACGGTAATCTGTACTGTGGAGGTTA